GGAGCGCCGGCCGAAACGAACCCGTTCCACGCTGCGAGTGGGCACGCGTGGGCACGAGTGCCGTGAAACGAACTCGCTAATTAGTTACCCGTAGCGGCCGCTGCAGTCCATCGTAAAATGACACGGAAACCAAGATGGTAACCACTTGTGACTTGTACCTCTTCCCCCTTTGCGGTCACCCACGTAAACAAAATATCGCAACCTGTTGCTTGTTTCCTCCTATAAAAAAAAAAAAAAAAAAATTAAATCATGTAGGCAAAATACATCCTTCTTTTTCTCCACTGCACTGAGGCTGAGTTGAAGTTTCTAAAGGCAACGACATGTGTCAGCCCGTAAACATCGCGATTTTATTGTTTTTAAGATGTGTAGTTTTGACAAGGAGTGCAATGCGCATGGGCGATCCGAAGGTCAGGGTCCTTTTTTGTGTTTTCCGAGTTTTCAATTAACGTATCAGTTGCGACTTGCGAGCGAGCGCTTGTCCGTCGTACGTGTTTTCTTACACTGTCCTCGCCTTTTGCGAGTTTTCAAATCAGGATAAATAACTACCAACCAACTAGCCCAACTTTCCACCCTTCTGCTTAAAAATCCCATTTGCATAAATATAGCTTTCTAATATGCTTCTTATATTCCTCCATAAAGTTTTACCTTAATTCTTCCACCAGTGCCAGCTAGGTGCCCAGGATGAAGAGAAACGTAATAATGCCGAGAGCAGTCTCCAGCAAATGCAGTAGTAGCAGCTCAGATAAAACAGTCTAAATCAAAAGTTTTAACTTACTACACTCTGTTCACCCTTAAAGGGATATACTACAACAAAATTTCGGCGCTTATTTTTTGGTCTATATGCGTTCAAAGAACCAGTATCGCATAGGACAAACCAATATCCTGTTAAAAAAAAGACACGAAAAGTAATTTTAAAACAAATTAAACAATTAGCAAAGAGCACCTGGTCGATATCGATAACACCTCGTTTGTGATGCCCGTCTGGGAACCTTGACAGGTAGTGACGGTAACTGTCTCGCCCACTGATCTCTATGACAATTATAGAGATCAGTGGTCTCGCCTCCGGCCACCACGAGAATAGAGGGGAAACTGGAACTCCCCTCTCCCCGAGAATCTCTTCTGCGAGTCCCAGAAGTCGCTATTGTATGTCGCTCTACAAGATTATAGAAGATTAACCCGTCGCTCAAAATTCGTACAAAAGCAACCGCTTCGGTGGCTGGAACGACCACGACATCTTCTTGACGTCAGCCTCGCCGCAGCTTTGCTCGTCCCGAGACAAACTACGTCATGATTGCGGGGATGTCGTGCTCTCCGCTGGCTGCTCTCCGAGCACTTGCCAGGTTTGCCGTTTATAATGAAACATGAGCCACCAGGCTCAAAATGCAAACGTGCGATTGTCATTTACGGATATTGTGGATCATATTCAAACTATTTTTGAACACGACAGGCATATTTCAAATTTCGTTGAAGTATCCCTTTAAGCTGAGACTAGAAGCTCTGCCTCCAGCGCGAGCTCGCTGGCTTCTACAGTGCTTTGGTTGAACATGCCTGCACGTTCACACTTGTGTTAGCGAGGGCAGAAAGCTTGAATTGAAGGCGGAGCTTCTAGTCTCAGCTTAAAGGTGAACGGAGTTTAGAACTGGTTCAGTTTCCAAATAAATTAAAAAAACGCTTGCTGTTTTAACTCTGTCAGTTTAAATTGAAATGAAATACTCAAAAACGCAATCACAAATTAATGGAAAAAAAAAAAAATAGACTTAAAAGTTTGGACAGGGCACAGGGTGAGTGGCCCTGAGGAAAGTCCACCAGTTTCCGTTCAAATTTAACTATTGACTAAAGGTGGTTTATCATTTATTTTGTCAAGGTTCATCCAGGACAACATACTTCTGGGTCACGACAAGCCATTCCAATTTGAACCATACTACTCATGTTTCTTGGAGCTAGGAGAAGGGTTGTGCTTTTGTAATGCTCAAAGCCCTAAACCCATCAATCTCATAGGACGCAGAGACCAGCCGGAGCCTCTATGCTTCCCATTCAAGCAACACGCGTTTCCAAGTTTTGCAATTGCCAAGGGTAACAATGTCAAATCGAACTCCAAAAAAATTTAATTCGATACTTCGATACAGGCATGTTTTTATGAATTCATGGTATGGTCTGTGCCCAGATATTATTTATTTTTACTTTGAATTTTGGGGAATTAGGGACATAGCAAAATAAACTCAGAACTTTGGAGATCTAGCACTGACAATTTCATGGAATTTTTTTAATTGGAAGATTTTTACTTCTGAATCGGATAACGCCAAGTTCCGAAACATTAGAATCTGGTCTAAACCGCCAACTCATTCCAGTCTCAGCTATGCATAGTAGTTCTGCGTTACGACACACAATACTTTTCTCAGGCGCCTTAAAAAGCTTAGGTTGTATGTTTATACAGCCTGGAATTTGGTCTGCCTCAACAGGCAACTTGTAGATGAGGAATTTAGCCAGTGCAGTACAACCGCTAGCCTGGGGTTTTTAATGTGCATCACGCAGTAGTGATACACGACCGCATGCCGGTATGATGTTCATCCAGATCGAAACGGGAAGTGGTGGGGATTGAGCTCGGGATCCTGGGTCCTGCCAGTGCGAGCTTTCGCTCCACTACTCCGAGCTGGTGTGCACTAGCCAACTCAGCCACCGATCCCCCCCCCCCCCCCCCCCCCCCCCCCCCGTGCCCTAAATTTCATAATAGCCAAGTCTCTCATCTACGTCAAATATGAATGTGGTAAATCAAGTTTCATTATCGAGAAATTTCTCATTTTAATGGAACATTTCATCTATAAAAGCTATTACATGACATCAGTTATAGTGAAGTGGAAACAGTAAATATCTATTGCCAAATGGGCTAGTGGCGACTTGATTGCATAGAATGGAGTAGGAGCAAAGAATCACATGAGCACATGCCAAGTACAAGGCATTTGAAAGAAATTCAAAGTAAATTTTTCTCACAGGGAACACTACAGATCACAGAATGCTCGGTCTTGAATGCAGTGCAAATGTTTGGGATATCAGATGCTCAAGTTTCAGAAGTTGGCATTATCCAATTAGAGTTATAATTAAAATAAGGACACTGATCTGACATAGCATAACATGCAGGAGGCATCTTCAGCAAGTACAGCAGCAAGGTAAGGATCTATCTTGACACAGTTCGGATGTAGGAGAGACTAGACTGAAAAAACACAAGCGTGATGTCACCCATGCATTGCACACGACTTACCTGAAAAACAACTTGTTCACCATACCTGGACAATGAATCATTCTTTTGACTTTGCGGCCCCAACGACCTGAGCAAGGGAGGAGAGCTGGGGTCACCGAAAACTGCCATAGTCGTGGTTCATCCGAAGGGATAGGTCGTGCAACAGAAACCATGGCCATCACTCCTTGCTGTGCACGGAACTTTCCGATAAATAGGTCTGTTGAGATAGACCCTTACGTTGCTGCTGTACTTATTGAAGATGCCTCCTGCGTGGGAGGCGAAACGTTTGATTGCTTTTTATGTCATGTCCAGTCGGTGTCCTTATTTGAATTATGATGTCTCCTGGATTTTGGAGTGCTTTTTATAATGAAAACTTGTAAGTATTTTTTTCCAGAAATTTTTAAGGAAATTGGGCTTTTCTTGGTAGATGACACCAGAGCTGCCATAGGCAGCTGCTGCTCATTTTCATACATTTGTGGGCTCCGTTTGCCGCCACTTTCTGACTGCCCTACATCAGATGGAAATTGAGTGTTCGGTGATGGGTAGTTTATATTTATGGTGAGGAAAACACAGTTTGGATCTCTCTCAAATACCCTGCAGTATGTTGCGTGTGGTGTCATGCAGGTAGGCAGAAGTCTAGCAAACTAGCTGCTGAACTACAGAAAGAGATTGATCAGACATAAAGACATCTTGGCAAAATGTGCAGGCCAAGACATCTTGTAGCTGTCTTCTAGATGTCACAATGTTTCCTCTTTTTTTGGGCAACAAAACATCTTGTAGACAACTAAGGACAGCTGTAAGACATCACTGACGACACCATCCACCACTTATTCATACTACAGTAAAACCTCGTTATAACAAACTTGAAGGAGCGATCATAATTATTTCGTTATAACCATTAGTTTGTTATAGCCAATGTCCATTTCTTCCCTATTAGCATGCAAGGGGAATTATGATTGCTTTGTTATATCCATTAGTTTGTTATATCCCATTTTGTTATAACGAGGTTTTACTGTACTTAGCAAAGCAGTGTGAATCAAGTGACGTAGGTGTCAGCGATTCCATTTACTGACAGCTCCATCATCCCTCCCAAATCTTGCCTCACCATCTTTTATGCCATGACTAAGCCAATCATCTTCCTCCCTTGCCCAGCATTAACAATTTGCTTCACTCAAACTGGAACTCACTAGGTTCCTACCATTTTGCATAACACTACCTTCACCTTGAGCAACTCTGGCTTGTACTAGTGCAGCTCACCTCCCTATTGAGTGTGCCCATTTTGTCTCAATCTACGATGGAACGCAGAAAACGCCACGAGCCAACGAAGCCAATCCAATGCTGTACGAGCGTCATGCGACTTTTGAGAGGGGCACGAGCGGCGGAGCACATTGTCGTGCGACACCTGAACAGCGCAGGAATGGCTGGGATGGCTCGTTGCGTCCACTGCGGTCAATCGTAAGGTGAAACAAAGTACAACTCATTCTCCGATTTCACTTCTCAGAGCAATAAAAAATGCCGAAGAGAGGCACTCTGCTTTGGCAACACAGACCGTCGGCGGACTGAGTAAACTCAATCATCCAGTAACGCTCTACTTCTGAAGCAGTAAAGCATAGCACTTTGTTACAGAGCAGAAAAGCTTAGGAAACCATATGACACATTAAAAAAGGCAACTTTGCCAAAAAGGAGAAACAAAAAAAAAAAAGCAAATGCCAAGGACTTGCTTTTAATCTTTAAAACTCGACAACACAGAAAGACACAACATTCGTAGTATCTGCAAAATATTTATTCTGCACCGCATCAGTGTCACAGACATAGCACTGAAAGACGGAAAATAGCATCTATGCAGGGCCGCCCTTTTGGAACGACGTCGAGCGGCATGTAAAACTGGAAAATATGCACCCAACACTGGGAATGCTTGTAGTCCCCCGTGCAGCTCACCATGCTGTGCCTGCTCTTGAGGCTCCAAATACTCTTCTAAATCGTCTCGAGAAACAAGGAGGATAAGCATTGCTGAATACACACAAAAAAAGAAACAAACACCAACGAGATTTTGGGATTTGGGCATTGGAAACTTAAAACTGCCTTGTATCGCAATCTCCGTAGAAAGACAAACAGATGAGGCAATTCACACTCGCATAATAAATGCACTCCCCGTCAAAAGTGACAAAGACCATGTAAAAGTTAAAAATCAATGTCATTGTGAGATTCTGGACACAAGGTAATGGCGGTTTGTTGCCGTGTGCCACAAAGACAACATTTTCTAGATAGCGTCTTCACCTGAATCCGATACAGTAAGAACTCGCAACAAATGAAAGCGATAAAAACTGGGACGGAAGTATGTGCGATAAAACGATGCAAAAACACGCAATACCACGTGAAAGAAAAAAAATAATCAGGAGGTGACATGCAGTGAAAACTACTTACAAAATGATCCGTATGTAATATCTCTCCGCAAAATGCCCGAACAGGTCTGAAGGCTGTTCATAGCACCACTGACAGAAGTAAAATCGTGAAATGCCACCACAGCTGCACAAGCTACTCACTCGAACATACCAACGACCTGACGCACAAAAAATAACTGCCGCATTCTCCGCGTTTGTATTAGTAGAAACTGGCAAGTTCACCAACAATGTCGTGCAGCTTGACACGAAGAGCATTAGTGAGCATAAAGCCCTACTCTGTTTTTACAAGAGGAAACTTTAAGGGCTCGTACCTATTAACCAACAATATGTACATAACATTTGCATCTTTTGTGCAATCTGGCTAGTCACCGTTTTCACGTTAGATGGTGGCTCGTCATAGAGCTATACCGGTACCCACATCTTGCACTTGCACACTACTACATAGGTACGTACATATATCCGCATACAGAGATGGTTCACAAGAAAAGATCTTGCCAAACCACCGACAATGCTCATACCACAATACCCTTAGACAGCATTCACTGTGGTCCACGAAAAATAAAAGAGTATGCTTTTGTTATTTCATGATAATAAACAGAAAGAGATGGTGAATAATAGATAATGTCACTGAAAGAAAAAAAAAAAAAAAGCTGACCGGGACAAATTGAAATCTAAATAGCTAGATCCAATTGTTCCACGATAATAATCTAGAATGATACTCAAAGAAAGATAAAAAAAGCAATTTATGCGCACCTTATATTGACGCTTCCTTTCGGAAATGCCCTTTTATGCAAACTACAATTTAAAACATATAGTATGCACATGTTTACAGTCTTCATTTCTACATCCAAACACTAATATATCTAGCTAGTAGTATATGTAGCAGCCTTAGAAAGACGAGAATCACTGAAGGGAATGTTGAACTCCTAGGAATGTTGAATAGTAGTCACCAACAGTTGATATAAAAACAAGGGTACTTACATGAATGGAGTTACATTGAGCAAAAACCACCAACCTTTCCAGGAAAAAAAAAATTACTATAGTCTGTTGCAACTCCAGATGGTAGGGCAAGGGAGAGGAAGCAGATGGAATGCAGGAGAGAGGAGGAAATTGCCCCCTCTCCTCTCCAGCATTCCGTCTGCTTCTCCCTCCCCAGTCTTCCTTTCCCATGCCCTACCTTCTTGAGCGGTAACTTAGTACAGCAACTTATGCACTTGAACATTCCTCTGGGTGTCCCCTTTTTTTCTCGAGATTGCAGCTTTCGTTGCTCCAAAACATTTCTCACAAAATGGGTCTTCCGAAACGTTCGCATTGAAATCCCGCTCACCTAGAAAAACAATGAAGAAAGCACTCCGCAGGAAATAAATGCAGCCACGTTTTGTAACGGATTCAAATGTTCTTTACAGGGTTTTTCAACGTAGGATATGGTCTAGGTGCAATTAAATTTACGTGGCGAAGTCGGTTTGGAATGTCAAAAGCATCACAACGAGCAAACGGGGCGACTCGCCATAATCGAGGCACCGAGCGCCACTGACCGGGTATCACAGTCCATTGAGATTAGCGGGATCAGTGGGTTAATAATACGGGAGCCCCAGCGGTAGGCAATGTGCGGCACATCTGGGGAACACAGTGGCCTGGTGGGTTCCAGATGGGCCTCGCATTCTGTGCCACGTGGGGTGGGGAGTGGTTACATTGGCAGTGAAACAGCTCTTGTGAAGGTAAGGGAGACCACAAGCTCGCTCCTGCTTTGCCTCTTACGTAATGAGATTCGGGTTTGAAACCACCGAGCGAAATATTGGAACCCTATGAACGAGTTTAGACAAAAATTAGGCGCAACATCAAATGCAACAGAAAACGCAAAAAAGAAGAGTGTGTCACTTCAAGTGCGAAAACAAGACAGAATGAAGAAACAAAGTATCCGTTCCGTCTCACCGAAGTACAGAGGCCTATTTCTGGATCCGACAAAAGCACCCAAAATTTCTCGTACCCCGTTTTTCCCCGTAAATGCTTCGAGCAACCGTAGCAAAAATGGAACTACCTCGAGGAGCAAGACGTGCTACTTTTAAAGCTGTAATGCCTCCGTGTCACAAAGGTCGGGAATCGACGCAAAGCCTCCGTAAAACGCACCGGCCACAAATGTCGTTAAAAAACCTATCCGAAAAGGATCGTAATTTTTTCTCTTCTTCCAGAGTGGCTGAGACACGACATAGTACCCCTTCACGTGACAAGCAACATAGTGAAGGTGACAGAATGGAATAAAAACGCGGCTAAAACCTAACATTGTAATCTGGTCATTCATTCAATCTTGTACCAGCTTCTTTCCAAACTGCTTGTCTCGTTGCTATACGGGTAGCAAATGAGGGAGAGAAGAAGACGAGAGGGCGCGGGGACGTCGGAACACCAAGCTCTGGTTGGAGTGATTAGTGGAGAGGCGCAAAGCTAGCTGCCTTTGTCTCTATTCGCTGTTCGAATGCGTTTGAACGCCTAAGTCGGGCACACGCATTCATATGCGTCTGAACAGCTTTGCGCATATCCACAAAGTCATTCCAACCAGAGCTCGGCGTTCTGACGTCCCCGCACACTCTCGTCTCCTCCTCGCCGTCAATTTTTACCCGTAGAGCTAAATCCAAACCCACTATACAAACTATTTTTGACACACGTAGCCCAATTTGGTGGGCAGATCTTGATCGTCCGAGGCAGCCTTGGCTGGGGCGACTTTTCTTTTGCCTGCTAAACTCGACAGCTGCTGCTATCCGTCGGGCATTCACACGCAACAACACTCGCCTACTCAAAGTGCTTTGTTTGAGTATCCAGACCTCCGCAGAACAGTGGTGCACCAAAGTAACCAAGTTTGACCTGGAAACGATTTCGCTGTGTCGCACTGTTGGTGGCCAACAAACTGCTGCAAAGTCCGCACCGCAGAAACAATTGTCCCATCCATAAAGGGGCCCAGAGTCCCTCGAAAAGCTTTCTTTGCACACCTTCCCACCAGGTTGCACTAGCACGAGCCATTCTTCCAACGGCCAACCTCGCTCCAGGGGAGTAGTCGTGGCGGTGATGGTCAAACGGCAAACATCGCCTCTTTGCAGTTCCCTCGACATCTTGGCAAGATGGGCAAGACGCGTTGAAACGCATCCTAGCTGTCTTCTAGCTCAATCCATTTCAGGCTACGAGGCACCTATTTACCAGATGTCTCGAGACATCTCGTAACTGTCTTCTAGCTCCGTCGATTTCGAGCAACAAGGCATCTAGAAAGGTCTCAAAGACATCTACGACGTGTTTCGATACACCTAACAGATGACAGCAGTCTTTTAGCTTCATCAATTTCGAGCTATGACGTCTAGAGAAATGCCTCGTAAACACTTGCAGGACGCCTGAAACGTTTCGTGGCTGTCTCCTGCTTCCACCAATTTCGGGCAACAAGGCATCTAGGGAGATATCTTGAAACGTCTTATAGCTGCCTTCTAGCTCCATCACCTTCCGACGGCCTCTAGAAAGACGTAGACATCAACAAAGTATCTCTCGAGACATCTAGCTCGAAAATGGCGGCACATTAACCTGCTTTCAACCTCCCGTTGCACGTGTCTCCAGGCAAAGGCCGCAGGACGGCGACAACCTCCGAGTGGTGCCGGGGCCGGCGGGGTCGCAGGGAGGTGGGGCGTCCCTCATATGAACCACTCCCGCTTCTTGGCGACCTCGTGTCCCCTGACCCCGTGGGCCACGGCCGTGTCTGCGTCGGGGGCGTCCTTGGACCCAATGTCCTCGTGGGTCAGGTACTCCCCCTTGTGGCGGGACACATAGCGCCCCATGATGATCGCCATCAGGACCAGCGCCGCCAGGATCACGGCAAGCACTCCTGGACACCAAAGAAAGGGGCTCTTCGCTCAGCCGCGGGTTCGGAGTTCCTCCCGATTCTCTTGCGGCTCGAGTCGTGCAGAGGCATCTCTGCACGACTCGAACAGTGCAAACAAAACAAAGTTTCACTTTGTTACTTCCGTCACTCTGCTTTTGCACGCATGTACTCCGACTTTGGGGTTGTGGAAATTGGGGAGAAAATGCGTAAACAATATGAAGTGTCTCCCCCCCCCCCCCCCCCTCCCCTTTGTTTTACTTTGTCCCAGACATCCTCCAACCATAAGGTTTGTAGCCGAGTCATACAGGTAGAATGAATGTTCGCAGATTGTAAAGACCACTTTGGGGTGTTTGTAGAAATGGGCAATCAACCGGTGTTTTTTTATTTTTTTTTTTAAATCAATATTTGGCACAGAAAGTGGGGTGGACGATGACTTGGGATATTACGGATGTATTTCTGCGTTTATTTATTTCTAAAATACCATTGCAGTTCGGTGAATTGTCTCGTGCAGACGCTTAAGACGGCTTTTATCAAAGGATAAAGACAACGACCACGACTTTGCGTACGGACTCGCGCAAAGAACTCCAACCTGACCCATACTTCGTTTGACCTCACGTCCCTATGCAGCCAACGCTACAAGGTGATCACTGAAAGTCAAAGTAACCAGCACTGAGAGAAAAAACACATCTAAACAGCGGCGTAGACTTTCCATTTTCCCAGGGGGGGGGGAAGCAGGCTGAGAAGTTCTGAAGGGGGGGGGGGTGCTGCACGTTACCTTTTTGCCAGAACTGGAGATTGAAGCTAACGAAAGCATGCTGGGATTCCATTTCCCCAAGTATTTTGTCAATAAAGGCAAAGTGGGCGTTATTTTGTTTACATGCCATTACTAGAAGCTCGTTACATGTCACGTAAACAGCGTCTCGGTATGCACCATGGCCCGGGTATGGAAGGGGCTCCGCCTCCGCCTCCGCCTCCGCCCCGCCCCGCCTTGCCCAGCCCCGCCCCGCCCAGCCCAGCCCAGCCCAGCCCAGCCCAGCCCAGCCCAGCCCAGCCCAACCCAACCCCGCCCCGCCCCGCCCCGCCCCGCCCCGCCCCCCCCCCCCTGGATCTCACTAGGGGGGGGCACGAGCCCCGATGCCCCCCGAAGCCTACGCCTATGCATCTAGATTATTAAAAGACCGTAGACCTACGCTGACAATCAACCCAAAACGACAACTATGGGGAAAGTTTGGTCAGTCCATTATCCCGCCGTCGTAATGCTCTCCTCCCGAGTGAGCCAATCAGCACGCGGCGCAGAGGGAGAGGCATGAGCGCATGCGCGTGAAGTCCCGACTGCTCCCACCTGACTGGGGAGGGCCGCCATTTTCGTTCATTCTCCCGGCCGAATGCGTGGGATCGGCATCTAAATCTCGATTATTGCCTTTTATATCGCTGGCTCTGGCAAGAAAATGGCATACTGTTATTCCTCGGTGGGGTAAAAAGCTAATAAATGAAGGTTTTTCGGCGTATGGCCACAAACTTTTATTCAGGCGAAAAAGAAGCCGGCTCGTAGCAGACGACGCGTAGCCTCAGCAGTGCTCTTCTCCGACAGCATTGCGAAAAAATGGCTGTCGTCTCAACTCTGCTCTCTTTTTTCTCTCTCGCTCCTTCGGCGCTCTCCTCCCTTTCATTTACTTTTCTCCTCTCCGGCGCCTTCGTCGCCAAACCCACTAGCCAAACTCTCCCAATATACGGATCTGCTGCGCATCTGCCCATTCCACATTTAAGGGGGGACGCGGGTCCTAAAAATGCAAAAAATCGCGAAAAAGTTCATTTTTCAGAAATCCTGTATTTGGGTGCCTTACATATCCAAGCACCTCTCTTCAAAATATTATAGCGTAATTCAAATTCAAAGTATAAAAAAAAACGATAATTACGTCGCGCGGAACGCGCTAAAAATCTTCCCGAAAAAGGAAACTGATGTCAAAACGCGCGCCCTCCGCGCGCCGCCGGTGCGCGCCCGTTAGCGGCCATTTTGGTCTCGTTCGAAAGCTTGCTTCTTTGTCTACATTTTTGGCGCCATTAAAAATGGCGTCCGCCCGGGGAAAGCACAGAATACCGCGTTTCCCCAGAGAAAGAAACCGAGCTACCGATTGGCTAAGAAGCACGGGCCGCAGCGAGCGCTGTCGCTATTGGCCGATGCGCATGCCTCCTCTCCTGAAATATGTCATTCTCCTCCCTCCTCTCCTTCCTCGCGGCGCGGAAGCAGTCGAGAGCAGCCGATATCGTTGTTTGTCGTCTGCTAGCGGTTGCGTTTTGAAACTTCAAGCACGTTATTTTTCGGCGTTCGCCTGCTTTGTTTAGCTCGACGTCTTTAGGAGACATCGGTAGTGATCGCGATGCCTAGCGTGAAGCTTTCAACGCAGCGTGCGTACGGCAAGCGGAAGCGTCGGGCGTAGAAGAAGGACTTCGCTCGCATCGCCAGTTGCGTTGCTTGCGGCGGACATGCGGCAAGGTGTCAGCAGCTGCATCGTCTTCCGAGGTGCCCGCCCCTGATGTGAGCAACGAAGAAGACGACGGCTCTGACCCTGGTGCGTCATGACTCGACTCGCATTTCTACACGGCAAGCGAAACTGCTCAACGTGCGGCGCGGGCTGACGAGATGAAGCAGGATTTGACCGCAAAGAAGTCTGCCACACAACGGAAGTTTGACCTCCTCAATGTCGCTGTCGAGGATAAAGAGACAGATATCTGCACGCAATTCGTGATCGTGGATTTGAACGGGCTGAACGTGTTCTTCGCGACCGTCAAATGTGAGCAGTGCGGAATGGCCGCGCCCGTTCACAAGCCGGTGCTTTGAAAACGTCCCCACGTCCCCTAAAAAAGCCCTTCTGAGGGCTAACCAATTGTTGCATATGGGTCTGCTTTCCCTACCCGTGTCTCTCCCTTAGTATGAAGTTCAAACCAAAGGCATTCCACCCATCTAAAGCTTCAATGTTGTTAGTTATGCATACCCAAATTTCAAAGTCGATTTTCTCAGCTTCGATTTTTTCAGCCTCTTTTCCGGCCAGGAAGGCTTTTTCATTCACTTGCGCTCAACCGATTTTCATAAACTTGGTACCATATTCTTTGGAATGAACTAGACTGCAAGCTAAAGCTATTTTTATTATGATATTTTGTGGTATATAAAACTGGCAATTCATTATTAGACATTGTTATAGCCCCTATTGTATGTCTTCTATTCACTTTAATTTTTTTACATGTTTATATGGTGCTAAAGAAATAAAAATAGCTTTAGCTTGTATGGCATTTCTTTAGGAAGCAATTGATACCTTTTTTTCATTCAAATTTTAACAAGAAGGTTTTTTAAAACTTTTCCTGAAATTAGCTAATTAATATTTTATTTTGTTGATAACTTTTGACAAAGAAGAGATATCTGAAATCTGATTGCAGTTATGAAATCAGCACAATAAACTACATGCCTGCACAAACAATCATTGAGATAGACCAATAAACAAAAAATAGTTTTTAAGAACCCACTTCCTCCCTTAAGCACCCATATACCAATTTCTAAGATATGAAAAAATATGCACAATACACATTTATATGTAAAATTGATGACCAGAAAAGCGCCCATCCCCCATTTTTCGGCGATTATCTCTAAAGTTTGAGTGGGCGCTTGCCCGGTATTTTACGGTATAGTCCGTTGCAACTCAAGAATGTAGAGCGAGGGTAAGACGGGCCGGGAAGGAAGAAGCAAACGGAATGCTGGAGACAAGAGGGGAGAAACCTCCTTCTCTCTTTAGCATTCCGTCTGCTTCCTCCTCCCCGGCCCGTCTCACCCCTCCCTACTTTCTTGAGTTGCAACAAACTATATAGCTTTTAGTGTGAAAAAAAAAAAAAAGCCACTGTTTGCACGAAAATATTTAAAAACGGGTATGTTTCGATATTTTTTTATTTTCGACACCGGCAGGTGTTAATTGGTTAAAACTGGTAAGAATATGGCCTACTTATTATTATCAATTTCCAGAGAATCGTGAATATAACTACGTAGGGTAAACCACCTATAATGCTATAATATTTCAGGCAGATCAGATGCAACTGTTTGGAAAGTATTCCCTATAAACATTGTGCAAACAATAAAGCAAAATGTTAAAGAAAAAAACAAAAAAAACAGTGAATGATGCTAAGCATGTTGCAAACAGGTGCAAACAGACACATATTGAATGAACTGAGAGTACAGTCTAAATTTGTTATAATAGACCCTGATAATGATCAATACTTCAGTCTGTTGTAAAAGGAGTATGCTGTACGCAAAGCCGTATATGGGGAGAGTTTGGTTAGTCTATGATCTCGCCGCCGTAACGCTCTCCTCCCAAGTGAGCCAATCAGCACGCGGCGTAGAGCGAGAGGCATGAGCGCATGCGCGTGAACTTCCGGCTGCTCCCACCTGAGTGGGGAGGGCCGCCATCTTCGATCATTCTCCCGGCGGAATGCGCGGGATCGGCATCTAAACCTCGATTATTGCCTTTTATATCGCTGGCTCTGGCAAGAAAATGGCATTCTGTTATTCCTCGGTGGGTTAAAAAGCTAATAAATGAAGATTTTTCAGCGTATGGCCACAAACTTTTATTCAGGCGACAAAGAAGTCGGCCCATAGCAGACGACACGTAGCCTCAGCAGTGCTCTTCTCCGACCAGTCTCCGACAGCATTGCTAAAAAATGGCGGTCGTCTCCTCTCTGCTTCCTTCTTTCTCTCTCACTCCTTCGGCGCTCTCCTCCCTTTCATTTCTCCTCTCCGGCGCCTTTGTTGCCACACCCACTGGCTAAACTCTCCCAATATACAGCTCTGGCTGTACGCAGATACAAAGTTGAACCAATGGCACCCAGATAGGAAAACTAACCGAACTTCAGAAAGCAATATGTTATATCCAAATGTCTGTGTAACCAGGTCTGTTGCAACGAGTTTATGCTATTCACTGCATGCGACCTGAAAGCAGACTACTTATCAATTTCGGTGCCAGTTGTCCCATTTTCAAGATGGTACAGGCAAAACACATGTGTGAGTCCCGGTTGAGTTAAAACAAAGTACCGAATATTTGGGAGAGAAAAGAGCAGTGTTTTCCCCAGCGCAAAAATAAACAATGTATGCCGTGATCCAACTAACAAGTCGAAAGCAGTTTGCCGACATTGTCAACGACAAAATGGGGTCCATTCTTGATAACAGACACCATTCATCTTGACGAAATTCGCAGAGTCCGTTGGCATCAATTTGACAAAAAAAGAAATGTCCGAAAATCGCTTATAATTTTTGGATGGGGTAACGGTAAGTCCGGAGACAATGGCCTCTTATCTCAACTGCTAGCGCTACATTTGGATGGAAACTGAGCCTTCGGAAATTTGTAGTTCACTTTTTTTTGTGGCGAGAAAAAAAAAGGGCGCCTCTGCGGAGTTTTTTAAAGGCATTCCAAATGCTATGCACTTCAACGAAAGCCATAGACTTAGGTGTTTTAAATGCGTAACATTTGGGACGCTTTTGCACGTGTCCGTGGGAATTCGTAATTTATTGGGCGTATTATTACCGCACCAAACGGGTCGTCCGTGAACTGGCACTCAAAATGCTGGTCGACTGGTCGCTGCATAAAGCCGACCAGCTTCCCGTTGCTGCCGGGCTCTTGTTTTGCAGTCCTGTCCTTTGCACCTCCCTCTTCACCTAGCTGCGCCCATGGTCGTCGCTTCTGCTCCGTCTTGGTGGCGCGGAAGGTCCGCAAGCAAGAGCCTTCATAGTGAGTGCACCATATCTTTGAGACTATAGTACGCAAACTGTACTCCGCAGACCATACATTTTTTTTTTTAAAGTTGAAATTTTACCCGACGCGGACTATCTACAGGTGCAGATCATACAAGGATTTGTTCTCTTCTAGATCGTTCACTGTGATAAGTGAAAACTTTTATGGATAACAAAGTGTATTAATGTTGGTCTATGTATGACACAAGCTTCTTTGTGAGCTAATACAGCTGCAGGCATTTGTCGAGGTGTGCTGTATATGATCATTTTTACATTTGGACTAGGCACTGACTGCAGACTATGCTACGGGTGCAGACTAAGCAAAACCTTTTTTAACCTCGAATTCGCCCTGGAGTTCATACACCAGGCGCAGATTGCAGTCTGGAAATTACGGTAGTCTGCTTTGCTGCCGTCAAGCACACACCGGAAGAAGCACATGATCCGAGAGCAGTCGCCGACTGTGCACAACAGTTGCAATTGGCGGCCGCATGCTTCGCGCCGTACGCTCCGCGCCGCACGCTGTTTGTTCTCCATTGTGGCTAGATTCCAGGCTTGGTGCACTACGCATTTGAAACGAGTCTCCCTTTTCTCCCGAGCACTCGGTGCACCCCAGTACGCCCCGAGCGCCGGCAGCAACTCACCGCCGAGGATGGCCGAGTCTGCGTAGGAGGAAGAGGCCCAGGGCTCGCGGTAGACCCCCGGGGGCAGAGTGGGGGGCGGTCGAGTCTCATCCACGGGGGTCGGATAGGTGACCGGCTCGATGCCACACGTGTCCTCCCGCACCAGCCCCTCCGGGTGGGCGTGCACGTTGGAGCGCCGGCTCTCCTGGAAGTACCGCCTCAGGGGCATGTGGTCGTCAAACTGCACCCGCGAGATGCAGCCCACAAAGCCCTCGCCCGTGCCCATGGACTCTGCAAGGAGGGGGATGGGTCAGAGCGCGACAGTCTCGGGGGGGGGGGGGGGGGGGGCATGCGGTGTGTAAAAAGACATAGTGCTTAAAAAGCCCTTTATTTTTCCCATGGAGTACCATGTATTTGTTGATATATCAAGCAACAGCTGCCATTGGCACTACTTACTGGTGGCTTTTGCTGGATATCAATAAATACATGGGACTCTGTGAGAAAATGGGAAAAACGAAGGGCTGTTTTCCTTGCCTGTAGGTTGGTATTGGCATTGGAGGTTTTAGGGGGCTTTCAACGAAGCATATAGAAATTTCGAATGGCGCCACACTGGCAGCAACTGCAAGTAGGGTCGATGTTAGTACAGTAATGTCTCATGAAAATGGTTTCCCCCAAAAATCGTCTATAGGGTGAGTTGTCCATAATAATGAGACGAAAAGGCACATATTTTCCCAGTTTGTCCCCAAAAATGGTGTCCATATAGCAGGGTATTCATATTAAAGAGAAACTCCGCCACAATGTAGTCCTCTTCAGTGTCACCTACAGCACCACATATTAAATATTACGACGCAGTTCTGTCAAACTGTTTCTTAGACGGTCCGGCAAACTTTGCATCTTGCCAAGTTGCCAAAATCGGCCGACTCGAGCGGGCGAATTGAGGTGCAACCAACGGCGCAGTCAAGGCTACGGCAAGGGCGTAGTCAACATTGAGCTAAACGTCATCACCATTGCCCCCTTTTTCTTGTTTTTACTTCTCCGGGCAAGCGTAACAAGTGACGTCAGCAACGTTTCCTCTCAGCGCTTAGTGGTGTCCACGTGATTGGTGTAACGCACCTGCGCAGCGCACTTCTTGGGAGCCGTCCGGCTGCCCCGCCGTGGTACCGCCGTCTCCCGCTCACAACCGCGGTTGTTGTCTCACTGTTTGTGCTTATCGCCTCTCGGAGTTTCGTCCACACTTTGGACACTACGTGTGCAGAGTTATGCCGCAGTTGCGCAGACGTCGTCGCATGTCGTAGACACCAAAACCTGGTGAACAGTGCGGTGCAGACGACACTTGCGCCTGGCACACGCCCACCCCAATCCCGCCCGCCCTTGCATAGAGGATCATTGACATCTTGTACCACGTGACTGTGGAATTAGGGAAAGGACTCGTTGTTTTCTAGAACAACAGAACATGGTTTATTGATATTGAAAACTAATTTAAGCAAAGTTAGAGAAGGCACGCCCTCCTTCGACTGTTGTTCCAACAAGAAGGGCGAAGTCGCCCCCACCAAGCGTCGGTCCAAGAGGGGGGCTCGTCCTTTATGACCCTACGGTGGGGCGCGCTCTCCCCGCGGCTCTCCCTCCCTCTCCCCGGTTTCCCGGAAAGGGGCTGGTGCCTCGGTTTCTGCTCGTCTTCGAAGTCGCTCTTCCTTCCCCATTCCCGGCTCGGGCATCTCCACGTTTTCTTCTTTTTATTTTACAACAGCGATAGCCACGTTTTTGGCGGCCTGAGGCGAATGCTGCTGGACGGAGCTGAAGTTTCGAATTCCGATTTCTGTTTGTGTTTAAGCTTAGATTTAAAAATATATATCACATTTTTGGTGAAGCAAACGACGTAGTGTCTTTTACAAGGGCTTTTTAATGCAAAATCACTCATTATCCCAAAATCTTCGGAACTGAGCGGAGTTGCCCTTTAAGGGAAGACACTACCCAAAAAAGTGAATTTTTGAACCACTTGTCTGATTTAAATGACATTTACAGGGCTTGTATCAGTTCATATTGAGAACATTTGTGCCAAATCTTTTTAACTTAAGTGAAGTACAAAAAAAGTTGCGAATGTTGAAAGACTAAAGTGGGTGTGTCTGTGTAGGAAAACTATCGTTTTGAAATTACTTATAAATTTATCGTTTTCATGTGTTATATTGCTTTAGAACAGTTCAGAGCAGATAACTATGGAGCTATATTTATATATTACGCCATCTTTCATGACAAAAAAAGTAACTAAACACAAATGATGTTTTTTAGATTTCCATCCTTTGTCCAAAATGCTCGTTCTTGAGCATAAAAAATGACAAAAATAAAAAATTCAAGCTCATAGTTATCTTCCTCTTTAAATTTCACCCCAGAAAAGCTTATAAAAATTAATCCAAGTTATGTAATAACAAAACAATAGTTTTCCTAAAGGGAAAATTATGCCAAAAAGAGGAATGAAGAAAAATGTGTTCAAAGTGCTCCAACCTCTACCGTTTCTTTAGCATCGATGGGCCGAAAATAATTTATAAAAAATTAACTATGCAGTGTAAACTAATTAAACTTCCTGGGAATACTCTCCAGATGTTGGTGGACGTAAATATGGCATTTTTCAAAATCAACTTTTTTTTGCAGAAATTGTTTTTTCTGGGTAGTGTCCCCCCTTAATGGAGTTCAATTAATGAGACAGGACTGTATGCAAAACTCTGTCCACAAACAGACATCGGTGCCTGTGACTATATCCTTTCAGTTATGTGGCTTGTAACTTTCATTTTACTGGCCATTATAGATGCATGAGTGGACCAGGTGGAGGCATAAAATAGGTGAAATTCGATCTAATGTAGCTGGGGGGAGGTATGAATTACTTTATTAAATCGCAAACTTCAATAAATCGAAAATAGCATTTTTCCTTAAATTAAATTTGATAAAACTAGTTTTAATGTAACAGCACCCAGAAAGCTATCGCGATACAGCATTCCCGAAGTGCTCACGTGGCAAAAATGGGGAACTTCTGTAACATCGCAAAACGTGAAGTTACACAACGTAAATGAAAGTACACAACCGGTGGCAGGTCGGCAAGCAAAACACGAAGTTGAAGATTGCGTTGCACAGCGGCACCGACTTTATGCAATCTCTCTTTATGCGGATAAACGCAACCATGTAATTGTAAACGGAAGTATACCGTATTTACTCGCAGATTGAACGCACTTTTTTTTTTTCCGAAAAATCGATGCAAAGTTAGCGTCCGTATTTACTCTTATAATGAACGGACCTTTTATCCTGAAAAATTGAACTAACTTCTTATCTCTTTGCGCGCGGCTCCCGACCCCGTAACCAAACTAAGCTGTGCAAAAAAAAAAAAAACAAAAAAAAAAACCTCCCCCTTTTTTTTTTTTTTTTTTTAAGTTCCTTTTTGTTTTTTTTGCTGCCTTTCGCAAGCTGTTTTGTTTGCTTAGGCCGACGGCTCTCCGCTTATCTTTCTTATCTCCTTTAGGGAGGCTCAAGTGAGGGTGGGTGCAACTGCTAGATCGGCGATCACGGGACATGGACGCCATTCAATTGCTAAATTTTGCTGGGAGTCTATGGGGCAAAGGGTCGTTTTCTTTCCTAACTCGGGTCATAAAAGCCCATTAAGGTGCTTGAATAATTTACACAAGGTATAAATGATTACTTTTCCATAGCCACCAGTTTTGTTGCGATAGGTTAAGTATTTTTTTAACGCGAAAAATGGTAAATTCCGCCATCTTGGACGTTGCTGCTTGTCTGGCAACTTTGCTTTCTCCGCTCGACGTTTGCAATTCTCGGAGCGAGAAGGAAGCGAGAGAGGCTGCGCCAAGGCGCTCGTTGCTTGCAATGGGAGGCGAGAGGAGGAACGGCGCACGGTTGCAACAGAGCGGGCGCCTGCTCTCGTGCAGGCAACACTGGCGCACATCCTTTCTCGAATCCTCTCCCTCAGGCGCCGCCATTAAATTGCAAACGCTCTCCAGGTTTTGAGTTGCGCCCACCCTCACTACAGCCTCCCTAATCTCCTTGCGCGCGGCGCGCGACGCACGACCCCCGGTAACCAAACTGTCGCTGTGCAAAAAAAAAAAAAAAAAAAAAAAAAAGCTTTTTTTTTTGCATTTTTTTTTCTCAGTTCCGTGTTTTTTTTTTTTTTTTTTTTTTTTGCTGCCTTTTGCAAGCTGCTTCGTTTGCTTCTCCGCTCCTCTTTCTTACCTCCTTGCGCGCCGCGCGACCCCCGTAACAGAACTCCGCTGTGCTAAAAAGAAGAAAAAAAAAAAAAAAAAAAAAGAGCTCATCTTTGTTTTCTTATAGTTTCGTGTTTTTTTTTTTTGTTTTTTTTTTTGCCGCCTTTCGCAAGCTGTTTCGTTCGCTTAGAGCGCTTGTCTTTCTTACCTCCTAGCGCGCGGCAGATCGCGAACCCAAAATCCAAACTGCGCTGTGCAAAAAAAAAAAAAAGATTTTTTTATGCTTTTTTTTTCTTGCTTCCGTTGGATCTTTGCGAATTTTTTAACGCCTTTTGCAAGGCGTTTTGTTCGCCCACGCTGCCCGTGCATTCGCGACCTCGCTACACCAGGATAGAAAAGTGCGATAATTTCACGCGCGTGGGGGGAGGGGGTCAAAATTTTGATGTCCGAGTTGGGGGTGCGTTTATTACGCGAGTGAAAAAAAAAAGTCGAAATTTTGAGAGCCGACTTGGGTGCGTTCATTACGCGAGTGCGTTCATTGTGCGAGTAAATACGGTACAAGTGGAGGTGGGTTGCCAGGCCACAACAGAGTCAAAGATTGAGCGACTGTGCCACACAGCCACACCGACTTCGCACAATCTCTTTCTGTGCGCAATAATTCTGCTGAGAGAGAGTGCCACAAACAAGTTATAAATTAAGAATATGTCTTTTTTTTTTTGCAGAGGAAGCAAGTCTGTTATTTTTACCAGTGAAAACGGGTAGAAATCAATAACAGAAGGAACACTAGAAAGCTGATGAACCGGAAAATCAAGGAGAAAATAACACGAGCCAGATATCGCCGTTTATCCGAGGTCAGCCATAATTCTATATCCAAATCCATAGCACTTTGGCTATTGCAGTGACTGCAGGAAGGACTGAAGTGAGTGTGGTCCATTGTGCTTAAGCTCACAAAGATGCACGTGCCGTTGCAAATTGCAGTCCTTCATCAAATCCAAATTGCAGTCCTTCATCAAATCAATGGCAGCGATGGTCATGTGTGTGCCACGACCACTTCCTCAACTCGGCAATCAAGACATCATGGCAAGCGAAGGACAGATTGCTCCACCACGCGTAAATTCAGTAATCCCTCGTTATAATGTAATTGCTTTTTTCGAATTATCGCTTTTATCGAAGTTCAACATGGTCCCGACCGAAATGCACACGATTTTAGCCGGATTATTCAAAGTGCATCGGTGGCCGACCACGCTTGTTACGAAGGCCACGGAGGTGCACAGGAGACCCCTGCGTTCCCTCCCCCTTCTCCACCGAGGCAAACGGTGAAGTGGGAAAATGGAGTAAACGGGTGACAAAGAGCAGAGCGCGCAGAGCGCCGATCCTGATGCACCAATGCAGGTACGCGGGCAGGCTTGTGTCGGAATCGGGTCAAGGGAGCGATGAAGCCCAGAGGAGATCATCCCTTCGGAAGCACCCGATGCACGCACCTGCGCGGGCGTGCTTGCAGCATACTACATACACATCTGCGTCCTACGGAAGATCGGGAGTGTTGACTGAAAGTCGCTTAAGTCTGCAAGGTTGAGAAAAGTGACCGGCCTAAGTCCAAAATCGCCAAAGAAATCAACATTCCAACATTGGCTGTTCGACACTATCCACCATTTCGCAGAACATTCAAGGCATATTGGACGGGTGCAAGAGGTTTCTCATGCCCGCGACCCGAAGATGAAAGATTGCCAACAGGTTCGCGCACACCAGACTTTCTCTCGCGAGCATGCTTACCGAGCCGGCTCACTATTTTTATAGCTGCAACATTTTTTCTACAGGAGTGTGTGAAAACATGTTGGCAAAGCCACCGAGGATGACTTTGATTCGTTCGTGCTTGTCAATGCGGACGTACCCATTGCTGCTCCTGCCATGGATGCTACGATCGTAGACCTTGCGTGTGGCCAGGAGCAACACAAAGCGATGTTGGAGAAAGATCTCGAGAAACGCTGACAACTACAGAGACGCGAAACATCCTACGGCTGCATCGAAACAAAGTGGAGTGTAGCAGCAGCGGCAGTGTTCTTGCGATGCCTGGAGCAGTTCGAGAACTGATACCGAGGTAAAATTATCGGCAAACTCCACTTAATTATTTTTTTACTCGGTAAAGCAGCCGCGAGATGTTCCTAACCAAGGTTTGTTTGATTAAATATACGGTCAGTGTTCCGCAGTGTTCCCGTTCACCTTCAAGGCTGCTGGCATTGTTTTTTTGGCTCTATTGTTTCTATGGAATTACCACTCATATCAACAAAGTAGAGAGCTGGGCTAGTTGGTGGAAGTTGAACATGGTGTACAGTAGGTGTAACAGCACGTAACAAAAAAGACTACGAAAAGGAACACACAAACATGACGAGCGCTCATATAAATGTTTTTTGCCGTTCCACTGACTGTTATATCCCAGGATCACCCTTAACTTTCCAGCGCTTCATAAAAAAGAAGAAAAAAAAAAGGCACTTAGGTTGGTCTTTTGGGTTTACCAAGCTCGAAACTATAATGTGCAGTCCAAAAACAAAACGGGGAACGCGACCGCGAGTTCTCGCTAATCAGCGAGTTCTGCACTATTCATAGTTTTCAACATTCGAAGAACTCAAATACTTCGAACAGTAAAAGTGCAAAGCAAAGTGAATCGAATAGCAAGCACGATTCGCGAAGTATTCAAAGTTTAAAATATTTGCACACCTTACTTCTATTTTTTTTTTTATTAGTCACATGTGTGACATTTTTCTTATTGCATTAAAGTTAACCTTTCCATAAATATGTTTGTTGAAAAAAGAATTCCAAGTGTGTTTTGATTGAATATTCTCGTTTAATTCACATGAAATAAAAAACATTTGAACTAGAAAATGTTCATATTCGAGAATATTCTATTTAATTCGATTCAAAGGATTTTGATATTTGCCCACTTTTACAAAATACATTTAAAATGACCCCTTTTTGGACTCAAATTCTCCGTTAAATTGTGTTGACGGTCAATTTGATTTCGCTATTTTGAGTTCATAAAAGCACAGAGTTTTATAGGCATCTGTGGGGGAATTAGAATGTGCTCGTTATATTGGGAATTTTCTAAGATTAGATTTCGTAAAATCGAGTTTCAATTGTGATTACACAATAGATATGGGTTCTCAAAGCAGATTCCTAGAAACCGGGATGCTCTCAATAGCCTGTTGATATGCTCCTCAAGCTCCCGAATCCCTTTCATTCTACTCACCTCAAAGTAAGGTGTTCTCTCAATAAAAGGGTCGACGCAATTTTAGAAACAAAACTTTCAGCCTTTCCACTCTGGGGAAGAAGGAAGACCAGCGAAGCTGTACTATGGTCACATGACCTTAAGGACGACTTCCTGGACGACCTCAAGGACGACGCATAAGGACGACGTCTAGGATGACCTCAAGGACGACTTCTAAGACGACCTCGAGGAAGACGCTTAAAGGACGACCTCAGGGACGACATCTAGACGCCTAGGACGACCTCAGAGACGACGTCTAGGACGACGTCAAGGACGACTTCCAGGACGATTTTGAAGACGTCTAGGACAACCTCAAAGATGACTTCTGGGACGACCTCGAGGACGATGTTTAGGACGACCTCAAAAATGACTTCTAGGATGACCTTGAGGACAACCTCTCAGACGACATCAAGGACAACTTTTCTAGGACAACCCCATGGACAATCTCAAAGACGACCTCAAGGACGACGCTGACGTTTAGGACGACCTCAAGGACAACATTTAGGACGACGCCTAGAGAAATTCAGCCTTTCCACTCTGCTGAAAAGCAGAGTGAAAAGGCCGGAAAGGGTGTCGCCATCTATAAGCAAGGCCGGCAAGCCGGTTGTCTGGTTGCTGCCGTCGCTCATAGATGGCGGTAGCTGTCCAGAGTTTTGTGTCGACATTTCTTTGCGGGGGACATTTTTTTGAGACCCTGGGGAAACTAGCCCTTAACAGCTCCGCTGTAAAAATGAGAAAGCTATTTGAGAGATGGTATCTGTTACACGATTTCCTAGATGGCTACTGTTCGCTGGAGACCAAAAGGTCCAAGCAAGAATCAGAATTTTGTCACTCCTTAAAACAAGTGAGAGCTCACCATTGCGCCCCACGTAGATACTCTGGAGCTCATTGAACTGTGCATCTGCCTTGCCCTTGATGTCAAATATGTGCACCTGAGGCTCATAGTTGTCCACCTGCAAAGGAAATGCAACCAGTCAGACAGCGCCCCATTCAAGCAGCAAGGAGCACTAAGTAAAGCCCTTTGACAAAAGAGCAGAGGATTGCAGTGGTGAGCAGCAGCCACTTAGCTTTCGACGCCAGGAAGCTGGTATTTCATAATATTCCGCAAAATAATGTCTTCAGATTTAACAAGTGCCTGCCCCATTTCTTTTTTTCATTATCTCCAATCTTTGCGTGGATGTTTGCTCGGTATTTTACGGTAGTAGCCTGACTTCAACTTAAGGGGGGGACACTACCCAAAAAAGTGAATGTCTGAACCACTTGTCTGATTTAAATGACATTTACAGGGCTCGTTTCTGCTGATGTTGAGAACATTTCTGCCAAACTTTCTTAACCTGGGTGAAGTACAGAAAAAATTGCAAATGTTCAAAGATGAAAGTGGGTGTGTCTGTATAGGAAAACTATTGTTTTGAAATACTTTATAAATTTGTTGTTTTTATGTGTTATCTTGCTTTAGGACAGTTCAGAGCAGATAGCTATGGAGCTATATTTCTAATTATAACATTTTTCATGACAAAAAGCCACATAAACACAAAAGCTGTTTTTTAGATTTTCACCCTTTTTCCAAAATTTTTGTTCTTGAGCATGAAAAATGACAAAAATAAAAAATACAAGCTCATAGCTATTTTCCCCTTAAAATTTCAACCCAGAAAAACTCATAAAAATGAATCCAAGTTACGTAATAACAAAACAATAGTTTTCCTAAAATAAAATTTATACCAAAAAGTAGAATGGAGAAAAATATGTTCAACGCGCTCCAACCACTACCTTTTCTTTAGCATCGGTGGACCGAAAAGAATTTATAAAAAATTAACTATGCAGTGTAAACTAATGAAACTTTCTGGGAATAGTTTTCAGATGTTGGTGGACGTAAATATTACATTTTTATATATCAACTTTTTCTGCATAAATTGTTTTTCCTGGGTAGTGTCCCCCCTAAGGCAGCCCTGATACTAGCTGTTGTTAATCTTCACCTAAGCGTTAATATGTGGAATTGCAGTTTCAAGACTTAAAGACAGCAATTTCATTTACCGTCAAACAACGGAGAAAGCGCAGTCCTAGAGAAAATGTAAGTGACAATACTAGTGCTAACAATTTATCAAAAACATGACAGGTGCTGCTACTACAGTACAATCCACTTATACCGATACCACATACAATGATGTCCTGCTTATAACGATCAGTTTCTAGAGATTTTAGACTAGAAACGCCCAGTTTCTAGTCCAGATAAAACAATAATTGGTTAAAATAATTAAAATTTCAGGTTTTCTAATTATTGTTATAAGTGGATTGCACTGTATCACAGGATGACAGGATCGATAAAGTTTTGGCTTGTTTGATGAGCTGTGTTACAACCTGGCTTTCTGGTCACCACTGCCATCGTATGAGGCACGAACACTCACAAAGATGGTAAGCCTCTGGCCATTATGTGAGCGCTTGATCTGAATGTCGTGGATCTGGCCCAAGGCAAAGTTCTCATTCTTGATGATGATCTCCTGCCGCTCAAAGCCAAAGTCAAACACCAGACGGAGGTGACCTGCGTGAGACGAACGAGAGGCAACTTATCAGTCGGGGGACCAGAAGAAAACAGCTGTGTGTGACGAGGAAATCACATGACTCAATTAGAAAAGCAATAACTATAGTCAGAATTTGAGTGCTCTTGCTTTTTACTTCCTATAAGTTTGGTTCATTTTTCCCTTTATACCTTCTAAAGCCCCCCCCCCCCTCCCCCCCTCCCCCCCCCCCCCCCAGTGCACTGAAAAAAAAACAAAAACAAAAAAAAAAAAACAAAAAAAAACAACAACATGGATAAAATGAAATTTAGCGTACAAAAGACAGAGTGCAAAGGAATTTTGCACAAGGAATGTGCAATAACAAACATAATGTGACTACAAAAGTGGCTGAAGTCTGTCCAAGTTAAACGCTAGACTCTATTGCATGAGTCTCGGGCAGATTAATTTGTATTTTTTCTTTTTTCTAGGGGTGTGCGAATGGAACCCCTAGCATTCGGTTACTCAAATATATAATATATTAGGCGAAAGATGCACAGTCAGCGCAGAGCCAACAAAAAAGTTGGTTTTTGTCTCGTATGTTAGAGCAGTGATAATAGACGGACCATGCAGGAAACACATATTGGTCCTACCGTTCCACGACGATCTAACACGCAGGCTAGAAAAAAGAACAAAAATGCAGTGGCTTAGCTCGGCTATGCCAGGATATACGTAGTGTGAGCTGATGCGCACAAAATGAGAGGCGCTATCAAGCGGCTCTGGTGCATTAGACTTGGCTGTTGCGCAACAGAGGCGCACAGCTGGGCATGTGGCGGCGCCAGTGCGTCTGCCGCGGCTATGATGTCACTCCTCTGGAATGTGCAGACCGGCGAGGCGGCAACGGCAGAGCGCGCGGCGGTGGCTTCGCGTGGTTCTCATAATAAGCCGTTCCCATTATGCGAGCCCTGCTCATTATGCGCAGAGCGCGGCGGTGGCAGAGCCACTGCCTCTGCAAGCTTATTATGTGCTCATTATGAGAGCCACGCGAAACTACTCAATCTTGGCCAGTGTAGCTAACGCTACAAAACTAACGAATGCCCTAAACCTCGTAGCAAGCAGATTTAACCGCGATTGTGACACAATCTGATCATGAATAACAACCAAAAACATCCCATTTGCGTCGCTTCCAGATACAAATTGTTGGGAAACCAGAATCCTGCACGTGTGCAGTTTTTAGAGCGCAGCTCTTAGGCGCCCGCTGCCGGCTCGAGCGGCGTCGCCGTCAGCGTAACCAAGGTCACGTGACCCCCCCCCCCCCCCCCCCCAAGGTCACGTGACCCCTCCCAAAATCACCCCAAGGTCATGTGACCTTGGGAACCTCGGGGGGTCACGTGATTCCTCCCAAGGTCACGTGACCCCCCCAAGGCCACGTGACCCCCTCCCCTTGAGGTCAGGTGACCCCCGGAACATATTAAAGAATGAGAGGAGGAGGGAGGAGGAATATACCCTCCCCTCAGTACCCTTCACTCCTCCTCCTCATGAGCTGCGCTCCAATTCGGCATTACAGGGAGTTGTGAACGACTTTCACTTTTTTTTTTTTTTTTTTTTTTCGGAAGTAAAAGCCCCTTTGTTTCAAATCGAAGCATCGTCATAAAACACATTCGGGCCCACTTCACGAAAATCGGCGACTGCGAGACCACGAAAAGAAAGTGCCGAGAAACCACGTGAATCCAGCCGAATGTCTGTCGTTATTCCGGAACCGCAAGTTTGGATTTTAAGCTAAACGAAAAGGGAAAAGAATAGTGTGCCTAGACTCGACAACATTTCCATCCGCTCAATAGCTACGACGCGGTTCGCACCGCATCATAGCTATTGAAACACGAAAAACACGTTGCAACACAAAATTTGAGAAGGTGACGAAAGCATTGATCCCCTGCAAACGTCTTCACTTTTCCGCTCGCTCTCTTTGCCACGCGGCAACACGACGTCTGCGTACTTGCGACGAATCTGCCTAGGAGTCGTCTTCGTGGTGTCAGTTTCACTCGCTCTCTTTCTTGAATCTAGGCTCTCTAAGGCAGAACAAAAGCGCTGGCGGCACCTGTGACCTACACAGTGCAGGAATCCAGGTGGCACCGCCTCAGGAGTGCGAAGTATACTGGTTCCCTTCTACCGCTTCTCCGTGCGCCTGGCTTCGAATGAACTACAGTCGAATCTCGTTAATTCATACTTTCGGTTTATTCGAACTGACGCTGTGGTCCGGACTACACTATATATATTTCAATGGGCGAAAACGCCCGGTAATCTGAATGCTTAAACGCTTTCGCCGGTTAATTCAAACATCCCGCGCCGCCGAGCATGCCTTCAGGAGCGGGCTAACTCACATGGCAGCGCCTCCAACGTCTCCAGTTCCAAATAACCATGACAACTGGTCACATGGTGACCTTGAATGCTGCGATGAGCGGTGCAAGGCTTTTTTGCACGGCGACGGTACTGCGCCGCTGCTCTTCGGCGCGTTTTGGGCGGGAGTGCGACAGTTCCGTTTACACTTGCGCGTTGCTGTGGTTCGACGTGTTTTCTGTGGGCGCGCGACTGAAGTTTGCTGCGCCGCTGCTCTTCGGCGTGTTTTCGGCGGGAGTGCGACGGTTCAGTTTCTTGACTTGCACTCGCGCGTTGCTGCGGTTCGACGTGTTTTCGGTGGGCGCGTGACTGACGTTTGCTGCGCCGCTGCTCTACGGCGTGTTTTCAGCGGGAGTGCGACAATTCCTTTTCTTGCCTGGCACTTGCCCGTTGCTGCGGTTCGACGTGTTTTTGGTGGGCGCGCGACTGACGTTTGTTGTGCCACTGCTCTTCGGCGTGTTTTCGGCGGGAGTGTGACAGTTCCATTTCTTCCCTTGCACTCGCATGTTGCTGCGGTTCAAAGTGTTTTCGGTGGGCGCACGACTGACGTTATCTCGATTCCAAGCGCCATAGCGAGCCGGGGCACATAGCGCCCACCAAAGGACCTCAAGACGAAGGTAAAGATACTGCAAAAAGTTGACCAAGACGCACTTTCCAAGACGGGAATACCGCAGAAACACAACATCACGAAGAGCACTCGAAGCGCTGGACACCACTGCGCGCTACTTCTCTTGCCGGGAGAATGCGGATGTCGCATTGGAGCTGGTCTCCAAGTTCCAAACATCTTTGTTGATTCACGACTGAGGAACGCATCACGGATTACTTCCCCTTGTGATCGGCGAAAATATATGTCCCTGAACTCGTCACTGATGTGCTAGCTCAGTGCACATGCGCCGCCCCACTAAGTACCATTTACTTGCAGAATGAACACACTTTTTTTTTTCTCAAAAACCAATGCAAAGTTGGAGGGGGGTCGTTCATTACGCAAACTAAAATTTTTGTGTTCGTATTTACTCGCATAATGAACGAACCTTTTATCCTGAAAAATCGACGTAACTTCGTATCTCTCTGCGCGCAGCGCGCCGCGCGACCCCGTAACCAAAATTGGGTTGTGCAAAAAAAAAAAAAAAAAAAAATCTTTTGTGGTTTGTTTTTTCTCTTAGTTTTGTGGTTTTTTTTTTTTTTGGACGCCTTTCCCAAGCTGTTTTGAGGGCTTCTCCGCTTCTCTTTCTTACCTCCTTGCGCGCGAGGTGCGGCCCTCTTTTAACCAAACTGCGCTGTGCAAAAAAAAGAAAAAAAACAGCTCCCGTTTTTTCTTTTTTTCCTTTTAGTTTCGTGGGTTTTTTTTTTTTGCCACCTTTCGCAAGCTGTTTTGTTTGCTTAGGCGAGGGCTTCTCCACTTATATTTCTTATCTCCTAGTATGCAGCGCACGACCCCAAAATCCAGACTGCGCTGTGCAAAAAAAAAAAAAAAGCTCCAATCCATGTTTTTTTTTTTTCTTGCTTCTGTTGGATCTTTTTTTATTTTTTTAATGCCTTTTGCAAGGCGTTTTGTTCGCCCAGGCTGCTCATGCATTCACGACCTCGCTGCACCAGGATAAAAAAGTGTGTTCATTTCGCGCGCGTGGGGGAAAGGTGGGCAAAATTTTGATGTCCGAGTTGGGGGTGCGTTTAATACGGCGAGTGAAAAAAAAAGTCAAAATTTTGAGAGCCGACTTGGGGGGTGCATTCATTACGCGAGTGCGTTCATTGTGCGAGTAAATACGGTACTTCATTTAATGAGCTTTCGTTAATTTGAACTTCGTTTAATTCGAAGAAATTTTCGGTCCCCCTCGAGTTTGAATAAACGAGATTCGACTGTACTACACTGACCGTCGACTGCGCCGTATTTACCTGGCACTCGAAAACAGAGGCAACGGTTCCCGTTTTGCTGCTCGTTTTTGCTGTCGCAAAACGTGCCTTCCGGGCCTCTGCTCTCCGCCCAAGGTGCGACGAACAAAAGGAGTGCTTTATGGTCACTGCATGTGGCCCAAGGTTCAAGAGCGAAGTGTGCACGGACACAATTTACGAAACTCTCGGAACTTGTAAGAACAGAGCTCCAGGACCTTCCATCGAGAGTCCGTGATTGTGCCCAAGTTTCAACGTCTATAGTCCACGAGGAAGGCTCTAGCAGTATTTGGGACAACTTTAAAGAGCTGGAGACAGCATCAAGCAGAAGGAACTCCCGCGAAAGCGGCAACGTCCGGGGGTTTGAACAATACCACGGAGAAACAAACCACTTGCAGCAAAGACGAGGACCTTCTGGTCGGAAATGGGTGAGTGGAACGGTGAAACTTGCCTGGGCAGTTGGCCATGAAATGAAATACCTGACTGCCCTGGCAACGCAAGTGCAAGTGAGAAGATTTTCTCGACGGTTGACAACATCCTCGAGTCGTGGCAAGAGAAGTTAAGGGGGCACTAAATTGGATTTTGAGAAAATCTTTTTATTGTGCAAACTCAACCTATGCACCTCAAGCATCCTAGAAAAACTGAGATCACAATCATGCATGTCCTTTTTCGCCTTTAAAAGGACACTGAACATTCCCCAAATCTTTTTTTTTTTAATTTTTTGCCAGGCAATTTAATATTGCGTCAGAAGACTACTCAATCA